CCAGGCCTGCCCAAGGCTTTATGCAACGTACATACAGTGGCACGACAGAGAGGTATTGAGGCCAACTGCGTCAGCAGCTGTAGTAGATGAGTTGTCATAACTGAACTGAGACCCCGCCTGAATGGTGGACGTGACACGTCTACTGTTACTACATGCGTCCTTTTGCATATTCCAACCTGGTTTGTGAAGCGTGGATTGTGCACTTTTCAGTGGGGGAGCCCACCCTCATTTTGTCGTTCCGAATAGTCTAATAATTTTCGTGTTTCCACCTGTGCAGTCCGTAAGATGGCCAGCGTGGCTCAGACAACAGTAATTTTGACATTGGGCGCTCCGCGTGATTGGCCAAGATGGTGACCATCGTGTTGTCTTCAATAACGTCTGCTTCAGCGCACATTTCTGGATGGTCCTCCGAGACCAGCGATGTGTTAGCATCGAGCGAGGTCGCCGTGTTCACAGCTCCGATAGGAATCGTTTGGAAGCATTTCCAACGCACACGTAGTACAACAACAGTTGACATGTATTTCCACCAGCTACATACAGCCGGTTAGCCACTCGCACGGCGCGGGTGAGCGATAACACCAGACGACGTGACGTGCTGTACTGTGCCACCGGTGAGCCGCTCAGCACGAGTTGTTGTAAATGGTCGGAAAGGGTGTGCAGGTGCGCCGGTACGGGCACAGGCTGTCGGTCCTGGCCACCACAGGCTGTCGGCCCTGGCCACCACAGGCTGTCGGCCCGGGCCACCACAAGCTGTCGGCCCTGGTCACCAAAGGCTGTCGGCCCTGGTCACCACAGGCTGTCGGCCCTGGCCACCACAGGCTGTCGGCCCTGGTCACAACAGGCTGACGGCCCTGGTCACCACAGGCTGTCGGCCCTGGTCACAACAGGCTGACGGCCCTGGTCACCACAGGCTGTCGGCCCTGGTCACCACAGGCTGACGGCCCTGGTCACAACAGGCTGTTGGCCCTGGTCACAACAGGCTGTCGGTCCTGGCCACCACAGGCTGTCGGCCCTGGTCACCACAGGCTATCGGCCCTGGTCACCACAGGCTGTCGGCCTTGGCCACCACCATCGGGTGGTGGTGGCCAGCCACCGATCGCGGGAAGCAGGCATGATAGAGGACTTCAGGGGTTGAGTTTACCCATGGGTACATGTATGCAATGGGTAACGGGTGAAACTGCGTGCAGATTCTGAGAAATTACTGTGTATATGTATGGGCACAAAGTTTACTAAATATCACGTGGATACTTGTAAACTACCTGCCATGTCATGCTGCAGCCTGCAATTTTTAGTCGTGAAAAGTTCCATTGCCAGACATCTTACTACTTACTAGGAACTAAGATATTGAAAGAGCAAACGGATGGGTATTGCCAATACGGAATGGTTAGTGGGTGGGTGTAGGGACAGCCCCACTGGTGCAGGTTAGATAAGGCAGCGTATTTGTTACCCGCGACGGCCTAAGCGGCGCAGCCGCTGCAGCTGCCGCAGCCGCCGCAGCTGCCGCAGCCGCTGCAGCTGCCGCAGCCGGGCCAACACCTTGCGATAGCTGAAGTAGCGCACGTGCGTGCGGAGCACGCCCGTGCCCTGGGCCTGAAGGCGATTCACCTGCCCGCCCCCGACATATCCTCGGGCGCCGGGGTGGGTCCATCGCTGTTGCGAACGGGGGCGAAACCGCCTGCCGGCCTGGCGGCGGCCGCGGCCGGTGCGGCCGTCCACCGGAACCGTCGACGCGCGGCTGGCCTCGGAGGGTGGGAAGATCAGCCGCATGGCGGCGCCACTGTCGTGCGGGCAGCAGCGCTCCCCGGTCCGGCAGCCGGCGGTGGTGGCGCCGTCTGAGAGGGGACAGCTGCCGGCCGGTCGACACGTGCCCAGATGACCGGCAGACGTCAGGCAGGCCGAGCCAGCGGCGCCTATCGACAACGAGGTCGCTGAGTTAACCGATTGGGGGGCCGGCGTGTTGAAAGGTTAATGCTGGTTGAGGGGACAGACTATCGTGATCAGCACATGTGGCGTTCAATGAACACTGCCCCAAAGCCGTCATAATTGGTGTGGTGCTGATAAAGCGCCCGTGGATGGCTCCCTTGACATCACTAGCATACACGGGGCCAATGAATGTCCTTTATAAAGTGCTTGTGCAGGTGGATGCCCCGATAAGACTATTTGTGTTGCTTTCAGGCGCATTTTCATTAGTTTATTATTTTCATTCAGGTTTCCCCCATTCCCGTGTGTAAATCACAGAGTATATTCCCAAAGGTCAACCCAGGTCGCCCGACTTTGACTTTGACTTTGTAGGCCAGATTTAGGCGTATTCGCATACCGCTTAACGCAGCACTGAAATTTGATTAAGAAGGTGCCGTTTTTCTACCTGAAGCGTATGCGTAGCACGTACGAAGTAAAGGAAACAAACCCACATTTCAAAAATGTAGTGCAGGTCATCCCAACAGGCCACTGTGTTAAGCAGTGCCCCCATATTGATGTGAAAATAAATTTGTGTAACTATTTGTGAAAATGTGCGTATTCTGCGGAGTGTTTTGAGCTATCTTAGCACCTGGCTGCAATGGCCACCGCCTGGGTGTCGCTGCTCGGCCGGCCTGCCGGGACGCGCCGGCAGCCGCCCGGTGCCGCGAGGTCCGATAGATAGGGCTGCCATCGACCGACCACACCAGGCGACCTTGCTGGCTAGCGATCGGCGACCGAGGTCATGTAAAGTGTGTGCTTGTGTCAAACTGTGAGGGCGTCGTGGCCTCCTTAGGAATAGGCTTCTGCTCGGCTGCTGTCCCTCGCGGGCGCGACAGTCATCAGTCACCATGGTGAACTGGACGCCTGCGGCACAGCCAGCCACCGTGACGACACACGTGCAGTATTCGGATTTTCAAGCTGGTTTGTTAGCTGCAAACAACAACCGATCGCAAAGCTGTCGGAACTTTTGAACTCGATCTGACCTGTGATGGTATCGGCGACCTTAGATTTGCAAAAAGGTATCCGCTAGGTCGTAAGATCCAGCCTATTGGTTGCAACTGAATTTCAAAATGTTTCTTTTATTTCCTTACACCTTTATGGGGCGAAACGTGCTGTTTCGTAGTTTGAAGTTGGCTAGTCTAAGTCCCAGTCCTAGGTGAGACCATTGTTGGACTGGGTTGATAACTGAGGTGAGATTGATGTCTCATTTGCAGCTTCGCCTCTGTAAACATCAGTCTTTGACTGACGTGTGCTGAGACCATCGGCGACTTTCTGCCTGGCTTGTGTTCTGAGACCGTTTGCGGTCTTTGTGTGACGCGTGTTTCCCTGCGATCACAATTGTCTTCAATCCTCACCTCGGTCTGTCCAGACGACCAAACGTCCAGACGTCAGGTCAAGAGCGGCAGCCATCGCCAGACACAGCCAGGGTCGCACCATTCTGTACCGCACGTGGGAGGGGGACGCACTGTCCGGAGCCGCCTGGGTACCTGCCAGCGGTCCCACCATTAAACTGACACTACGAGAGATGCCGGCAGAGTATATGCACCACAGGTTGATGACGCAACCACGGGTGGAATGTGTTGCATGCACGTACATGTGTGCCGGGCCTCTCTTGAAGCCCCTCCCCCTCCCTCAAGAGGGTCATCGCACTGGGGTTTTATGGTAATCATCCGCCTCAACAGGATGCAGCCGCGCCCTTTTTGCGCAGCACAACTGTTGCCAGCTCTGCTAGGACCGCCACTGTCCGGAATGCAGGACCTCGTCACGATCGCCGCGCGGGTCCTACACCCGACACAACAGAGTCCGAATTGCAAAGCAGCGATAGTACCATGTCCGCGAGCTGCATCTTTAAATCAATTGTTCCAGCGCTTGTCGCGGTTGGCACGTGAGGCGTGACTATTTGCCGTCTCTGCGTAGATTTGCGTTAGGGCTGAGAATAAAAAAGGAAATTGTCACTTTCTTATGAGAGATTATGTGAGTTTACCGAGCTTATTGGATGACTTCCTATGACATCGATATGAGATAACCTTGCGCATGAGACGTTTATGTGCGTCGGTGATATTGTCCGGGCGAGAAAGGTCTATTTATATTGCTGTGGACAGTTTTTAAGGTTTGACCTCACATGATCCGGAACATACAGGGAGTGTTCCACATTTATACGAGGCTTTGAACTGAACTAGCTTTATTGGAGACCTTTCGGTGATGTTCACAATCCTCTGGTTTCTGATTCACGCTCCCGCGAAAATGGGACAGGCTTATAAGAGAGAGTATTTCAAAGTCACCTTGACATGCACAACGTTATAGTAATGTCATTAAAGTCCTACCATTACATAAACCACGCAGCGATTAAGACCAAGAACAATATAATTATCGAAGCGTTCATATCTGGGTTTAGTGAGCGCGACTTCCAGATATAACGGTCGTGAATTGGCTCGTAATCAATGTTGTGCAAGGTTTGATGACGATATTAAGCCACGACGCATTGAGCAGCATATTTACGAAACAGCAAATTGTGCTGTCTGGAGCAGACATTTCCACTTAGAAGCATACCAATAGTTACAAGTGAGACTGTTTCATCATACCGGATGCTTGCTTCGATGTCTTTAAATGTAACACATTCCCCGTAAATAGCCCGTTCAAATTCGGTGATGTCGGTTCACGATGCAAAACGCGTTGGAAAACCAAATCCAGTGTCGCAGGAAACGCGGCAAGTGACGATTGTTGTCCTCTCCGACGTAAGGTCATGTATGGATGGCCCATCGATCAGCAGCACATTATGGGAACTTAGAGCTTCGTTGCCAGACATGGCAGACGTGCTACGCCTGCGTAACAGGAAAGTAACGTTACTATGCGTTGGGTGGTCCAGGAGATGCTTCGAAAAACCGGAGAGGTTTGTATCGACTCCCTTTTCTGGCTATGGTTAGTCACCACTGGCACGCAAACTCTTTCATCGGCTCCATGACACCGTGCAACGTGACGGAGGCTGCAGGCATCGCACGGCGCGGCTTGATGTCCTGCTTGACCAGGCCTGCCTTCCGCAGCGACTTCGGCAAGAACCCGTCCATCAGCAAGTTCGGCGGCTCTCAGGTGTCGCTGCGCCGCTCGGACGGCTCCCAGATCGCCACCAGCATCTCGCCGTACCCGGCCGTGCTGCACGGCTACGTCATGCAGGAGAAATGGGACGACGCCGTGCGGCTCTGCCGCTTCATCAAGGTGCGAGCAGAGGCGGCGGGGGTCAGCGGGACGAACCAACGGAGGACTGTGGGACAGTACACGTCAGCGGCAGGCTGTGTGGGATGGTACACGTCAGCGGTAGGCTGTGTGGAACGGTACACGTCAGCGGCAGGCTGTGTGGGACAGTACACGTCAGCGGTAGGCTGTGTGGGACGGTACACGTCAGCGGCAGGCTGTGTGGGACGGTACACGTCAGCGGTAGGCTGTGTGGGACAGTGCGGGTCAGCGGTACGCTGTGTGAGACAGCGCACCTCAACGTCAGGCTGTGTGGGACGGTACACGTGAGCAGCAGGCTGTATGGGACAGTACGCGTCGGCGGTAGGCTGTGTGGGACCGTCAGCGGTAGGCTGTGTGGAACGATACACGTCAGCGGCAGGCTGTGTGGGCCGGTACTGGTCAGCGTGAGGGTCAGCGGAACGGTGCACATCAGCGGGAGGCTCAGTGGGACGGTACACGGCAGCAAAAGGCCGTGTGGGACAGTACATGCCCGTGGGAAGCACAGTGGAACGGCACATGATAGCGGCATGTTGAATTGAATGCAGAATGAACTACACATGACGGTCGGTGGCGGCCAGCTCCTCTGTTCGCTGGTGATCGCACGCCCGCCAGGACTGCCGCCCGATCACCGCCGGCGGCGCGCGCCAGCTCCGTTCCGGTCGTGGCAAGCCATGCCAGTGTTCTGTGGTGATAATGTGGCTATGGAAATGACGCTAACGATCTGTTCACATCGGTGTTTTACACGCGCGTTGGGCAAAGTGCACATGGCCCCAAGCTGCAAACTGTGTGTCTGACTGCGTCAGTTTGCTGAATGCGTCATATTTCTATCACTGCTGCATCTGAAACACCGTCAGTAAATCAATATCCTGCTGTTTTCGCTGGGCATTGTTTTAGGAAAAAATGCGCTCACAAAAAAGCGTTTTTCATAGGGATTTCTTTTTTGAACGCCTAAAAAACCTTAGTATTGTCGTGCTTCTAAACTGCTAACGGAGGTTGGTCTGTTCTGGCCTTCATAATCCTGAATATTAAGACAACTTAATCAGTCATTTAAACCTCAAGCATGAGGTACTCAAAGGCGCGTGACTATCATGCTTTTGGGGCTGGGTAGCTCGATTTCCCCTCAACTCCCTCTAACAACTCGGGATGCTTGACACTACACTGACTAGACAGATTGTGTAGGTGTGTGCGTGCGTGCGTGCGTGCGCGTGCTTGGGTGTGCGTAGGTGGGCGTGTGAGACATCCTCGCTGTGGGGCTGCCTGGCCGTGTAAGATGGGGAGTCGGGGACACATGTGTCGCCTCAGGTGTCAGCTCTGTGTGTGTGGCACAGTCTGACTCGCTGTGGGGCTGCCTGGCCGGGATGGCGACTGTGGCCCGCGAGCTGGAGACCGCCGAGATCGCCTACTCCTGCATCGACCAGGCCGACAAGGTCGAATACCTCCGCTATATCAAGGTATGTGTGGGCTCGTTCGGCCATTCTACCACTGACCTCGCCACCAATTATCTGTGAACGAGTGATTGTAAAATAAATGTAATTAATTGCCGGCAATTACGGCTACAAATTTAAGTAAATTTACGCTGTGTTTTTAGGTCAATGTATGGGATTTATTGCATTTATCGATTTTATTTCATTGATTAAATGGGGCCCATTTCACTTCTTAACTTAGATTTAGTTAACATATGAAAGTATGTTTAGTTATATTGCGTTAGATTCTTGAATGGTTTGCTATTCATTGGCTTGTATACAGCGGTGGCTGTTTGTAAGAGCGGGAAGCACTCGTTTGTCTGCCGGCCAAAGGAAAAAAGGCCTATAAACCATTCGTGAACATAACCCTTTAGCTTTTGTGCCTTTGCGCGGCAGTTATGTCTCCTAAAATTACGCTATATATATATATATATATATATATATATATATATATATATATATATGTACACACGCGAATAATCCACCTCGCTTATGCTTCATAGTTAGAGTCTACTTACACCAGCCCAAATAATGCCAAAGCTAGTGTGCATCGTCCTGTCCCGTCAAGCCGTGCCGTATACATCTCAGTGGATGGTGTGTTTTGTGTTCGCTGCTTACTATCCGCGCATCTATAGCAGCCAGCCGTGTCTGCCGACAGTATCGCGTCGTCGAAGCGTGCAGCAGATAAGCTAAGCAGCTGTCGTTGAGGCGGGAGGGGGGGGGGGGTGGAAGGTGAGGGGGTATAAACTGGCTACGTATTCCGCCGTGATCTACGGTCGCCATAGGACCGCATAATCCGAACCGGTCTCCCGGGGAATACCAGGGATGCCCCGCCGCATTCCGGCGCAAAACCGCCCGGATGTACCTTGAAGTGAGATTCAGACTGCTGACTGCTGACCTTTATGTGGTCTTGTGGTCCGTGTCAGGGCTTGTTGTGCGGTCTTGTGGTCTGTGTCAGGGCATGTTATGTGGTCTTGTGGTCCGTGTCAGGGCTTGCTGTGCGGTCTTGTGGTCCGTGCCAGGGCATGTTGTGTGGTCTCGTGGTCCGTGTCAGGGCTTGTTGTACGGTCTTGTGGTCCGTGTCAGGGCATGTGTGGTCTTGTGGTCCGTGTCAGGGTATGTTGTGCGGTCTTGTGGTCTGTGTCAGGACCTGTTTTGTGGTTTTGTGGTCCGTGCCAGGGCACATTGTGTGGCCCTGTTGTCTTTGCCAGGGTCTGCTGTGTAGCCTTGTGGTCTGTGTCAGGACGTGTCGTGTGGTCTGGTGGTCTGTGCCAGATCTATTGTGTGGCTTTGTGGTCTGTGCCAGGCCCTATTGTGCAGCCTTGCGGTCTGTACCAGGCCAATTGTGACCCTGTGGTTCGTGTCAGGGGATTGTTGCCTGGTCCTGTGGTTTGTGTCAGGGCCTGCTGTGTGGTCTTGTGGTCTCTTTCATGGCTTGTTGTGTGATTCTGTTAACTCTGTGAGGGCCAATGGTGTGATCTAGTGGTCTGTGTACTCTGTCTCTCAGGGACTGTCATCGGCTGAGGCGCAGGCGGCCGAGCTGACGCTGCTGGCCGGCTCACCCCTGGATGCTGAGGCCATTCTGGTGCACACCAGCCAGATATTCAGGGCAATCATGCTCAACATCCAGCTGTACCAGTGGGAAAAGTCAGTGGCATCAAGTCGCGTTCACTGTCAGAGTTTTGGGCCAGTGCTGACGCCGTTAAGCCGACACACCTCATATCATCATGAATGTAAAACACCTCTTGAGCTCCAGGTCTCTCAGCATATGACTTCCGAGATCCCATTCTGAAAGGAATCGGCCTGACCATAAGGCACTGCTACAACGACGTTGTCCATAAGCATGGTGAACACGGTACATTAATGGATTCACGTCTTGGGCACGTCCATGGCTCCTCGCACGAATTGGGTGATCGGCCGGATAGCGTACATATATTGAGAAGAAAAGGATCGGCATGTGTAGCAGGCTTCTAACTGCTTGCTTGATGGTTCTACTAGTGATGACCTCGCTCGTGATGGTCCTTATGGCGTGTCGGGTTAAGATGCATTTTGTTAGTCTAGTGCTTTTATTTAGCAGTATATCGCCCTTAACAACACTCGCTGCAAAGCACATTGTCCACACGCACAAACAGCACCAATTTTGTCCCTCAGAAAGTCGTCACATCAGCATGCATGGCTTATATACTGTCTATAAACGGAAACGGTCACGCCCACGTGTTACGAAAGGGATGGGATAATTCGTCTTTATGAACCAATGAAGAAGCATGCCAAACCAGTCAGAATCGAGCTCTGCTCTTGCTCTTTGAGCGTTGACGATTGCTGTTAAAATGATGCATCAAATCACGTTACGGATGGTTATTCTCTCAACTTCCGGGAGAACTGTTTGTTTTTTGACTGCATGTTTTTTAAAGGCCTATCTATCTGTTTCTCAGACGTCCAGGCTTGAACAGAGGGGCTCTATTAGCTGCACATAACTCGCCAGGCCAGGCTGACGCGACGCGCGTGGCCATCGGGGCGGATTTGTGCGCCCAAGGAACGCCATGAGCCTATGCAGAATACTCATGCATGTGGTGTCCTTTGTGAATGTTGAAGGTTTATAATCGGTGAAGGCTTTTACTGCGAGGAAATTATATGATTGGCCTGGAGATAGCTCATCGTCAGCTGATGCCTGGCTGAGTGTGGCGGCTCTTTCATATGGAGCTTTCTTTTGACGTTCCCTAAAATATAAAAGAAGGTATTTTAAAGATGTTTTTCTCTTGGCATTGTTGATAACCTCAAGAAGTTTATGCTAAAAATATCGGAAATCAGAATATCGGAATATCAGACTATGCACAATGTGGTCCGACTGGCGGCTCGACCAGTCTCCAGCTCCGGCTCCGTGTGTCGGCCCGATGTCGCTTGGCGACGTTCTGTCCGTATGCACGGTGGTGGTGTTGTGCGTCAGTTGGCCATATGGCCCAGCATCGGCGCCCGCCACTGGCCACGCGAGCGGACTGCACCAACCAAACATGCCGCGTCGGCAGGGCTCTGGCCATGGCAGTCAAGTACAAGACGCACATCGACACGGTGATCGCCTTCCGGAAGAAGTATTTGGAGCGCTTCGAGAAGGAGGAGACCAACCAGCTGTTCCTTCAGTACAAGTCGGTGAGTGGAGCAAAGCGCCCATGGTAATAGATGTTGTGGAGAGCGAAGACCGGTACACAAATTGCTGTATATTCCTGAAAATCGACTTGATTTGCAATTGTATGCTAGAAATTAAGTTTACTCTAAACAGTTGGTGCCCATTAACAGAATATGACGTTGCGCATGCGGTACAATGTGAGTGTATTCAGAGTGGAAATCAGTGCAATGCACTGAACTTTTGCAAGAAGACGTAAAGGGATTGTATGCTGCTGTATGCTGCGTTACTGAAACCGTTGAACATGTTGGACCAAGTTAGAGCGTTCACGGATCGAATAACCAGTGCGCTCGCCAAAGCAGCCGTAACAATGCATGCCGCGATTGCAAGTATTATAACGGTGTGTGTATTGACGTGTAGCACCACGACCACGTGGTCCCGCGCATCGCCATGGACGGCCGCAGGAGTAGCCCGGGCATCACATAAAAGCGTACTGCGCAGCGTGTTGACCTTCAGATGCAGCACCGTGCGCCAATGCATAATACAGCCATCGGTTGACGTGCTGAGGTCCTGAGGCTGTCGTTAATCGGACGGGTTGTGCATCACCAAGCTTATGTCTTGTCAAGCAAGTCGCGGACTATCTACGCACACTTAGCAAACATTGTGTGTCACTAAAGCAATGCGAGCCTATAGCCACAGAGGCATTCTGGGTGAATTTGCTGGGGGAATTCGTGCAGAAATGGCGAGATTCAGCAAATATAGAAGCTTTTTCCTTTGAGTCACAGGTGGTTTCTACGTACACCCAGGGGCACTAGACCTAATGATACTGGGTTGAAAGAACTTTCGACAAATCTATGAGAACATAATTTCGATGGCACGTTTGGCTACTTTAGACAGCTAACACTCTAAACTCCAATCAAACCATTGATGACTTCCCACTGACCCCTCAGCGGTGCGGCCGGTGAATGATCTCTATCCTACCGTCGCACCATCATCGCGATCGCCAGAGGGTTTATCGTACGCCACCTGTGGTTACCAGTGCCTTGTCCGGTTCAGCGGAGTTGGGCGGTGTGCCCGCACCGCCGTGCCCCACCGCTGAGAATGATCCGTGGCGTAGCGCTATAACGCCCTCCTGTCAGCTCTCTGACCACTGGCCCCGCCATGCTCAGATGGTGAAGGATGCCAAGAAGCGGAAGCGTGAGGCGGCGGCCGACGAGAACGAGGACATCCCCGACATGACGGAGCAGTAGCGGCCCGTATCACGTGCTGTTCGTGTGCCTGTGTGCGTCCATCCCGTCTGCAGCCCGTCGGTCTCTGTCCGACCTCTCACCGCCGAGGCCCTTGTGACGTGCTACCCACTTGTGGCCGGTGGGCCGCCGTCCGACTGTGGCCCTCTGCCGTGTCCCGGGGAGCACACCTGCATGCGAGGCCCTGGCTGCCCTCCTCGCTCGGAGCAGACGCACACTGATCCGTCTGTCTGTGGCCCTCCGCCGTGTCCCGGGAAGCACACCTGCATGCGAGGCCCTGGCTGCCCTCCTCGCTCGGAGCAGACGCACACTGATCCGTCTGTCTGTGGCCCTCCGCCGTGTCCCGGGAAGCACACCTGCATGCGAGGCCCTGGCTGCCCTCCTCGCTCGGAGCAGACGCACACTGATCCGTCTGACTGTGGCCCTCTGCCGTGTCACGGGGAGCACACCCGCATGCGTGGCCCTGGCTGCCCTCCTCGCTCGGAGAAGACGCACACTGATCCGTGTGCACACTGGTAGGCACGGTGATCCGTTGCTTCGCACGAGGCATGCGACACTAACATCCACGCATCGATCCAGCTCGTCGTCGAGGGCCCTGAACTCCCTCGCGCGGCCTCAGTGTGCCCTTCTGAGCCCTACGCACCGTAAAGGTTGTCTGTGGCATGAGTGTTGGGGCGCTAAGCTTGCGTCGGTTTGAAACTTTGATAAACATCCTTCGGTGATACTTTGGTATCTTATCAGCAGTAAGAAAAGTGTTCTCTGTAATGGGTATTTGGTACACGAAATAAATGATCGAGTGGATTGTTAAAGAATGCAGCGTGCGGTATCTCGTTTAAGGAAGATTTGTAGTGTCCAACGGTATCATGTCAAGAGCTCGATCCTTCCAAATGGTCCCTCCGTCGCAGATGAGCTTGTTCCCCTCCAACTGGTTACGCCGTCACAGACGGGCCTGCCCACCTTTAACCAGTCGCCGTACTACAGAAAGCCTTGCTCTCCTCAAACCGGTCAACCGCAGAGGAACCTGCTTCCCTCTTACCGTTGACCCCACCACACATGAAACTTCTCCCCTCTGACCGGCCACTGTTCTACAAAGTGACCTCTTTCCTTCTAACAGGTCAATTTGCCCCAGATGAACCTGTTTCCCCTAACACGTCACTCCAACAAAAATTAGCTTGATCCCCTCTAACTGATCACCTCACAACAGATGAACCTGCTCCCCTCTAACTGGTCACCCCACCCCAAATGGGCTTGCTCCCCTCTAACTGATCACCCTATTACAGAAGGACCTACTCCCCTCTAACCAGTTATCCCTCCACATATGAACCTTCTCCTCTCTTACCGATCACCCCACCCCAGATGAACCTGCTCCCCTCTAACTGGCCACCCCACCCCAGATGGACTTCCCCCCCCCCCACCCTCCAACCGATCACCCCACCCCAGATGAACCTGCTCCCCTCTAACCGATCACCCCACTCCAGATTCACCTGCTCCCCTCTAACCGATCACCTTATTACAGAAGGACCTACTCCCCTCTAACCAGTTACCCCACCACAGATGAACCTTCTCCCCTGTAACAAATCACCCCACCACAGATGAACCTTCTCCCCACTAACCGATCACCCCACCCCAGATGGACCTGCTCCCCTCTAACCGATCTGCGAAACCCAGATTGACGTGCCCCCCCCCCCCCCCTTCTTCTAACTGATCGTCTCAACCCAGATGAACCTGCTCCCCTCTAACTGGCAACCTCACCGCAGATGGAAGCGGACTGGAACAAGATCATACTGAAGGTGCAGGTGGAGATGCAGAAGGAGAGTGTGAACTCGTCCTCGGTCGGCCAGTCCGTCTCCAACACGTACGGCATCAGCTGGCCCGTGACCAGTCAGGCGCAAGTGGAAGAGGCCGTCTCCGACCAGGAGGTGTTCTGAGTGCCTTCACCTCGGCCGTTACCGCTTGCCTGACCAGCATTCTAGCTCTCCGGGAGGGAGCAGGGCTCCCCCCGCCGTTTGTCACACGCGCGTCAGGTTCACGAGGATGGAACGGAGTGTGTAACCGTCTGAAAACCTCCGCAAGCGTTCGGGGTTCACGGCTGGCCACTGAGCTGCGCCCTGGAGATGCCGCGGCCACGGGGGTTGGAGGGCCTAGCCAGCTCGTGTGTTGTTCAGGTAATCTCGTTTGTGTGGCGGTGTGCCGGGCACTCTAATTGTCAGAGCACCGCGGTCTAAGCCTAAGCCCCGTGTGCTGAACACACTTCTCGCATCCGCAGCCTTGCTTTCTGCATTCATGGCCATAATATATGCTTGTGTTTGAATGGTGCTTAGGCGAGGACTGAAGGATGTTGTTTAGTTGGACACAATGTGCAGCTAGCATATCCATGTATTTGTAGGACAGCTGCAAAAGTACCACGTGGTGATTATTTTCCGTGCTCCATAAGGCTGCCTTTGTTTTCCGTCCGTTTGATGCATCAGAGTCTGAACTCAAATGCATTTTAATCTCCCAAGGTGGTTGTTGCAAAACCGCGCCACGTTCGACGTATGGCACAATGCTGGAATGCACATCAGCTGAGGACTGCGTGGTATGGCTTCTCACGCTCGCTTCTGTTCTCGTTTCAGTTTTGCATTTGAATAAGCGTGAAAGATTGCGCCAGGCGGAATGTTCCTAACAAATGTTCACCTGGGTCAGTTTAGGCCAGTGACCTATGCTGACCTTTAACACGCACTCAGGGAGGGGGTGGGGGGGGGGGAACTGATCCCCCACCTGGGCGAATGGTATTCAACTGGCTACCCGGGCGCGTGTTAAGCAGTCTATGGAATGTGTGTCATGCAGTTCCCGTTATCAGTAAATTCGAATTGAGTATCAGAAACTACCCCATACAGCAAGCTCTAGAGTAATGAAGACGAGTGGTTTTGACCTCGTTCTGACCTTCATACCTGACCATAGGTCAGTTTGACTTGTTCATACAGTTGTTGTGTTGGCTAAGAAACTATCCCACAGATGTATTGCATCGTCTAACACTTCGGTGCTGCATCGGATTGAACGTTTCCGTCTTCACCCAAGCCAGTGGCCCGAATTTGACCTGTCGTAGGTCAGCGACCTTACAAGGTGTGTCTGAATTATTGATGGTAGCCAGGGCTGTCGGCCCAGGCCACTACAGGCTGTCGGCCCTGGCCACCACCAACTGGTGTCAGCCGCCGAACATGGGAGTCAGGCGCAGAAGAGGACTTCTCGGTGTGAGTAAAGCATTGGGTACACACATCAAATGGGTAGCGGGTGAGACTTAAAACAGACGTTGGGCCAATGGAAATGGTTGAGTACCAATGACAACGAATGATCAGCGAGGACTCTGCCGCCATGCGCACACGCCACCCATGAGCACAGGACATGGTGGAAAGTGGGTTGGGTGAAGGGAATATTACCCACGGCGACCTAAACGACGCTGCTGTCGCAGCCAACGTATCCTGCGAAACCGTGTTAACGCCCGGCGATACAAGATGTAACGGTTGGAGCCGAAGCGGACCACACCAACGCCCTGGCCAGATGGGCCGCCCACCGGCAGTCCCCCGGAGACGCCCCCCCCCCTCCCCCCGCCCAGCTTCGGCTGTGGACAGCGGCGGCAACTGCGTGCGCGACGTCGAACACGACCGGTGCGGCCATCCACCATGGCCGGGGCCGTCTGCGTGCCGCTGCCCTCAGGGGGCGGGAGGATCGGCCGCATGGCGACGCCACTGTCGCATTGCAACTTTGCAACAAAGTGAGAATCCAACTAAACAATGCTTCCCATAGCCAAGGCGGCTTTTGAAAAGTGTGGCTGCCAAACGCCACCGAGAAGAAGTAAAAGTCACAATGCGAGGTTTTGTTGAGTTCGCATGATAGTGACTGCATATGGGTATACAGTTTTTCCGAAATAGAGCGTCAAGCTCTCGGTACCATTTCTAGTACAATCATTTTGGCGATGGGCGTTCTGAGGACACTATGTACCAAATGTTTGGGGAGAGCAGGACCAATGGATCTTGACATTTTCCTAGTGGTGAACAGGGAACCCAGTGGCATTTCTACGGTCGAAACGGCTACTTCAACATGGAAATCTGGGTTGTTCAGGAGGATTTCGAGAAAGCTGGTATGGCTGGCCAAGTCGGAGGCGTGAGATCCAACTACGAATGACAAGTGCAAACAGCATGGGATATTGCATTTTGGGACCAAGCCCGCCCAAGGTTTTAGACAACGTACATGCATTGGCAAGACAGAGAGGTATTGAGGCCAACCTCGCCAGCAGCTGTAGTAGATGAGTTGTCATAACTGAAGCGACACCCCGCCTGAACGGTGGACGTGACACGTCTACTGTTACTACATGCGTCCTTTTGCACATTCCTGCCTGGTTTGTAAATCGTGGATTGTGCATTTCTCAGTGGGGGAGCACAACATCATTTTGTGGTTCCGGCTAGTTTAATAATATTTGTGTTTCCACCCGTGCAGTCCTTAAGATGGTCAGTGTGGCTCAGACAAGAGTAATTTTGACATTGGGCGCTCCGCGTGATTGGCCAAGATGGTGACCATCGTGTTGTCTTCAATAACGTCTACTTCAGCACGCATTTCTGTATGGTCTTCCGAGACCAGCGATGTATTAGCATCGAGCGAGATCGCCTTGTTAACAGCTCCGACAGGAATCGTTCGGAAGCATTTTCAATGCACACGTAGAACAGCAACGGCTGACAAGTATGCATTTCCACCAGCTACATACAGCCGGTTAGCCACTCGCACCACACCTGAAGTGACGCATGTGTCCTCGTCTCCCCATATTACACGGCCAGGCAGCCCCACAGCGAGAATGTCCCACGCGCCCACCTACGCACACCCAAGCACGCGCACGCACGCACGCACGCACACACACACTTACACAATCTGTCCAGTCAGTGTAGTGTCAAGCATCCCGAGATGTTAGAGGGAGGTGAGGGGGGATCGAGCTACCCAGCCCAAAAAGCATGATAGTCCCGCGCCTTTTTGTACGTTATGCTTGAGGTTTAAATGACTGATCAAGCTATCTTAAATATTCAGGATTCTGAAGGCTAGAACAGACCAATCTCCGTTAACAGTTTAGAAGTACGACAATACTAAGGTATTTTAGGCGTTCAAACAAGAAATCACCGCAAAAAACGCATTTTTTGTGAGCGCACTTTTTCCTAAAACAATGCCCAGCGAAACCAGGCAGGATATTGATTTACTGAGGATGTTTCATACCCAGCGGTGATAAAAATATGACGCATTTAGCAAACTGACGCAGTCAGACACACAGTTTGCAGCTTGGGGTCATGTGCACATTGCCCAACGCGCGTGTAAAACACCGATGTGAACAGATCGTTAGCGTCATTTCCATAGCCACATTATCACCACCGAACACTGGCATGGCTTGCCACGACGGGAACGGAGCTGGCGCGCGCCGCCGGCGGTGCTGAGGCGGGAGTTCCGGCGGGCGTGCGATCACCGGCAAACAGAGGAGCTGGCCGCCACCGACCGTCATGTGTAGTCCATTCTGCATTAAATTCAACATGCCGCTGTTGTGTACCATTCCACTGTGCATCCCACTGGCATGTACCGTCCCACACAGCCTTTCGCTGCCAGGTACCGTCCCACTGAGCCTCTAACTGATGTGCACTGTTCCACTGAGCCTCATGCCGACCAGCACCGGCCCACACAGCCTGCCGCTGACGTGTACTGTCCCACTGAGCCTTCCGCTGATGTGCACCGTTCCACTGAGCCTCATGCTGACCAGTACTGTCCCACACAGCCTGCCGCTGGCGTGTACCGTCCCACACAGCCTGCCGCTGGCGTGTACCGTCCCACACAGCCTACCGCTGAGGTGTGCTGTCTCACACAGCCTGCCGCTGACGTGAACCATCCCACACAGCTTACCGCTGACGAGTGCTGTCCCACACAGCGTAGAGCTGACGAGTATCGTCCCACACAGCCTACCGCTGACGAGTACCGTCCCATGCAGCCTGCTGCTTACGTGTACTGTCCCACACAGCCTGACGTTGAGGTGTGCTGTCTCACACAGCCTACCGCTGACCCGTACTGTCCCACACAACCTACCGCTGACGTGCACTGTCCCACACAACCTGTCACTGACGTGTACTGTCCCACACAGCCTACCGCTTACGTGTACTGTCCCACACAGCCTGCCGCTGACGTGTACTGTCCCACACAGCCTGCCGCTGACGTGTACTGTCCCGCACAGCCTACCGCTGACGTGTACTGTCCCACACAGCCTGACGTTGAGGTGTGCTGTCCCACACAGCCTGACGTTGAGGTGTGCTGTCCCACACAGCCTACCGCTGACGTGCACTGACCCACAGTCTGCCGCTGACGTGTACTGTCCAATACAGCCTGACGTTGAGATGTACTGTCCCACACAGCCTGCCGCTGACGTGTACCATCCCACACAGCCTGCCGCTGACGTGTACTGTCCCACAGTCTTCCGCTGGTTCGTCCCGCTGACCCCGCCGCCTCTGCTCGCACCTTGATGAAGCGGCAGAGCCGCACGGCGTCGTCCCATTTCTCCCGCATGACGTAGCCGTGCAGCACGGCCGGGTACGGCGAGATGCTGGTGGCGATCTGGGAGCCGTCCGAGCGGCGCAGCGACACCTGAGAGCTGCCGAACTTGCTGATGGACGGGTTCTTGCCGAAGTCGCTGCGGAAGGCAGGCCTGGTCAAGCAGGACATCAAGCCGCGCCGTGCGATGCCTGCAGCCTCCGTCACGTTGCACGGTGTCATGGAGCCGATGAAAGAGTTTGCGTGGCAGTGGTGACTAACCATAGCCAGAACAGGGAGTCGGTACAAACCTCTCCGTTTTTTCAGAGCATCTCCTGGACCATCCAACGCATAGTAACGTTACTTTCCTGTTGCACAGGCGTAGCACGTCTGTCATTTCTGACAACGAAGCTTTA